CAGTAATGGTTTTCTTACTCTCTCCCCTAACCACTCATCTCTCCCAGAGCTCTCGCTCTGTGTGTGTATGTCTGTCTGCCTCTTTCTGGCTGTATATTTTGTACGCAAGTAATATGTGCATATCTATTTGTAAAGGTAGTCCATGCTAAATGGTTGCGAATGCCAGATACAGTGTGGGAAGAGGGAGGGTGAAGGAGTAGAGTCTGAGGAAGGACATTAGAGAGAAAGGTGGAGAGGCAAGACATTTATGGGACAAAGAAATGGGTTATTATCTGTTGAGCAATAACATTGTAGTATCAACTGGACCCATGCAAAATGTACACATGTTGGAATTTTCACTTTGCAAGCTAAGTAACGTGATTGAATGTATAAAAGAAATTGAAATAATAATTTAAAAAATAAAAATAAGAAAAATAAAAAAGTAGTACATGTTGGGACCAGCAGATGGCATAATGGTTACGTTGCTGGACTCCCACATGGTCGACCTCAGTTTGAGCCCCGAACTGGGCAGCTTGTAAAGAATAAGCCGAGATCCAAACCGCCCTCGCCCACCTCAGCCCCCTGCCTGCCAAATTAGTGTCTGTATAATGCGGAATCTGGGTACTTAGTAATCACGGACATATAACAGCCCAAAAATATGTTAGGAATACAAAAGATTGAAGAACAATTAGAAAACAGGACACTGGGAATTTCTAGGTTGTCTTTGCACATTTATTTTATATCAGCCAGAGATAAATTAATATTGGATTGTTGGAAAAGTCATAGTGCATTTTTTCTGTTTTCCTATGCAAAAATGTGTCATGACTTTTTCAACGACTCAATCATTACCTCCTTCCCTATCTTAGCTGTTTCGCTGGGTGGTGTCAAGGGCCACATAATGAAGTACTAAATTATTTTTAATAAAACATGTCCAGAGGCTGGGGCCAGCAGATGGTATAGTGATTACGTCGCTGGACTCCCACGTGGCCAACCACTGTTCAAGTCCTAGACCAAGTGGCTTGAAACTCCAACCAGGTGCATGTGTATGCGTGCCTAGGATCCCAAGAAGAAAGTGGAGGAGAAGGGATTGCAGCGTGGCCATCCCTCCGGGGGGGGGGTTATTTCTTGTTTTCCCTCTCTCTGTCTCTGCCTTTTTCTCTCTGGTTAGCACAGATGCCCTAAGGGGGGGGGAGTCCAGGGAGCTAGCAGGTGGCCTGGTGGTCAAGGTGCTGGACTCCCATATGGCTAACCGCTGTTCAAGCCCTAGACCTGGCCACTTGCTTTCTCACTTTCCTTCCCTCTCTCTCTATCTCTCTCTGGTAAGTGCATGTGCCCTATAGCAAATTTTAAAGAAATAATAATGAAATAAAATAATTTTTTAAAAAATAAAATAAAACATGTCTAGAATTCTCACTGACGAGGGACAGTGGCACACCCTGGACCCACTGCTTGGCAGGCCAAGACCACACGCAAGGCCCAGCTTATTCCCAGACCACTCTACGGTGCCAAGCATGGTGGTGCCCACTGTGGTCCCAGCTTCTCAGGAGTCCAGGGCAGGAGGAAACCCTGGCACAGGGAAGCCCTGTCTTCAGGAGTCCAGGGCAGGAGGAAACCCTGGCATAGGGAAGCCCTGTCTATGTCACCACACACACACACACACACACACACACATACACACACATACACACATGCCACCAATAAAAATAAAAAAGAAGGAAGCGGCGCCTTGGCCAGGAAGGTCAGGGTGTGCTTTGCCACATGGGTAGCACATTTACTGAGAGCCTACTATGTCCCAGAAAGGAAGGCAGATAAGAATGCAGCGGGCTTCCTGTCTGCTTCCAGGGAAAATCCATACTATTTAAGAATCTGAATGTCTTAATGTCTCGTGATTTTAATTTCCAAGTATCTCAGTAGTAACACATCTAAATAGGCTTTCTGTCTACTTCCATGGAAAATCCAAACAATGAGGACAATGGAGTTGCTGCAGTTTGGCCACCATTGTTTAAGAGAGCTGAATGTCCTGAAGTCTCACGATTGTAATTCTCAAATAGTTCAACAATAGCGCGTCTGAGTATCTATCGGTAGAGAGGCCCTGCTCCTCTCCTCAGTTCATCTGGATCACCTGAAGCGACCGGTTAACCTTGACAGTTCATCCGGATCACCTGAAGCGACCGGTTGTCCTTGCCAGGCCTGTAGCAAACTGGGATCATCAGCCCCAGTTCTCCCCTCGACTTCATAGCCATACTCCCAATAGTTAGGCAAAACAATAGTACTTAGTAAGAGCTCTTTGAATTTTTTTGAAGCTGCTGAGACGTCTGAGGTGGCATAACAAGACCTGGCAGGGTTAATATCCTTCGTACGTGATCATTTTAGTATTTATATTAAATATGTATAGTGCTGTATTTATCCTCTCAGGTCAACGTCCCATTGTCGGTGCTTTAACTTGTATTCATGTCCACTTTTGCCTTGACTTCTCAGTTACCTCATCCACGTTGAAGGTGGGTTATCCCTGGAAGGTGGTTTGCTGGGCGTTCAAGCAAATGGGTGTGGGAAGGCACTTCCCAGGAAATGCCCTTCTGTGCCTTGGCCTCCTGCCTCTTCTGCTCAGTTCTTGAGGCTATTGTTGCCGCAAAATCTGAGCCCTCACACGGCTCTCGCTTGCCCCTGCAGCTCTCTCCCACCTCTTCCCTTCAGCCTTGAGCAGGGCCTACCTTCCCTTCCGTCTGCAGTCCCTCTACCCTCTATTGTCTGCCCATCATAGTCCCTTCTGTCCCACCAATGGGTTCATATCAGTGCGAGTCCTTGCCACCCCGACTCCCCCGCAGCACTGCTGGGCAGGGTTGGCAGATGGACAGAACTGAGCCCCAGGGCATCAGTGAGGACAGAGTGGAAAACAGGGTCAGCCAGCATGGCTCCCCCACCTCATCACCTGTAATTGGGCCCAGTCCTCCTCTGGACATGTTGGCCTCTGTCATGACTATGTGGGACAGTGAAATGGGAGTGCCAGATTATCTGGGATGTGTTTTACTGCTAATCTAAAGAAAAGCACTAGGCCTCGTTCACAGAGTGAACTGACACAGCGTGAGCACTGGGTTACTATGACCACCTTATCTGGGGGGGATGTTCCAACACCCTCAGTGGACACCTGCAACTTCAGGTGGTACTGATCCTATATAAGTATGGGTGTATCTAAGATACATATACATATATACACCCATATAGGATATAATATGTAATATATATTATATATATATATACACACACACATATATGGTACAAATATATATGTGTGTGTACATATATATGATAAAGTTTAATTTATAAATTAGATATAGTAAGAGATTAACAATAATAATAAGTAGAATAATTATACTATGAATATGGCCTCTCTCTCAAAATAGCTTTTCTGTACTGTACGCACCTGTCTGGGGACTGTGGTTGCCCACAGGTAACTGAAACCACAGAAAGCACATCTGTAGATGAGAGAGGGCTACTGCGAGCTGTGATTCACCGTGTGACGGCAGTTACACCGGAGGGAGGCCCGCAGCCCTGGCTCCTTTCCTGCAGCGACTCTCGTTTTCAGCCTTCCAACAAGCATGACGCTGCCCCCGCCCAGCCAGCATGGTATGCAGTTAGGATGTCAGACGGCCCTGAGTGAGGAGGCTCAGAGTCCTAAAAGCCAGGGAGGGGGTGTTACTGAGTTCACGGAGACCACACGCAGGCTCAGCGATTCCCTGGAAGGAGCCACAGGACCCAGAAGTGCAGTTATACTCACACTTATAGTTAATCATAGCAAAAGGATACAGATTAAAAGCAGCCAAGAAAAAAAGGTGCATGGGGCAAAAATCAAGGAAAGCCAGGCACAAGCCTCAAGGTCCCCTTTCCCAGTGGAGGCACACAGATACGCTTGCTGTTTCCAGCTGTGACCGTGACGGCACATGAGAAGTGTTGTCAATCAGGGGCGCTCATCTGAGTCTTGGGATCTAGGAGTTCTACTGGGGTCGGTGACGTGGGCTGCGAGATTCATGTGACTGACAGCTACTCAGACTGGTGTTCCCCGTAAATCGCGTCATTGACATAAGATCTAGGAGTTCTACTGGGGTCGGTGACGTGGGCTGCGAGATTCATGTGACTGACAGCTACTCAGACTGCAGCCCCAGGAAGGATGGTGTTCCCCGTAAATCGCGTCGTTGACATAAACTATCTGATCAAACTGGTATCGTGGCCCAAGGCTTCAGGCATGCAAAATGCTCTTCTCAGGCACCATGTTATTAGGACTCAGAGCTCATCTCTCAGGAGCCAGAGAAGAGCCAGTCCTGAAAATGACCTTTCTGGGGAATGTGCAGGGCGAGCGACCCAGGCCTGCTGAGCCCCTCCCTGCAGATTCCCAGAGTCAAGGAGCTGGACGGCTCTGGCACATGGCCAGACTTCTCACCCCTCAGCTGCCACCACCCAGGAGAAGCATCCTCACCTTCCACACAGGGTGACTGTGATTCAGAACAGCAGCCACTGGAACCAGCAGGTGGCACTGTGGTTGTGGCACTGGACTCACACGGCTGACCTGAGCATGAGTCTTGGACCCAGTGGCTTGAAACTCAGTCCTGGCACGTGCACATACCTGCCCAAGATCCTGAAAGGAGAGTGGAGAAGGGATTGCAGCATGGCCATCCCCCCGGGGGTGATGTCTTGCTTTCTCTGTGTGTGTGTGTGTGTGTGTGTGTGTCTCCAGTGAGCTCATGTGCTCTATAACAAAAATCTCTCTTAAAAAAAAAAAAATAGCAGCCATTGAAATGTTTGCAAAAAGCAGGTCACCTACAGCAAGGACTCCGTAAATCATCAGTTGCTATCATCATAGCCATTCTTATGCAGGGGCGGGTGTGGGCATGAGCCCGTAATGCTTCCTTGTTATCTGAGAACAGGTCAGAAGCGCCTTTTCCCAAACTCCGAGGACGGAGACTACTTGAGAGCGGTGTGTCTGCACCCCATGTTGACTTGAACTTCTCTCTGCTCTTCCCTGGCAGTGGCTCAGAAACCCCGGCCCCCAGCATGAGAAGCGGACTCTGTTCGGGGACATGGTGTGCTTCTTGTTCATAACGCCCCTGGCCACCATCTCGGGCTGGCTGTGCCTGCGGGGCGCCGTGGACCACCTGCACTTTAGCAGTCGGCTGGAAGCCGTCGGACTGATTGCACTCACTGTCGCACTCTTCACCATTTACCTCTTCTGGACACTCGTGAGTATGACCCGCGGCCGGGGGCCCGGCCAGCTGGAACTGGCAGCTGCCCAGCGGGCACGAGCCATCCCTCCTTCCCTCCTCACCTGTCCGGTAGAAAAGAGGCCTTCAGATAAGGCAGAGTACACGACCTGGGTTATTTACTGCACGTGACTGTGTCCGTGTGTGTACGTGTGTGTGTGTGCATACATGTGTGTATCTATGCTGCTAATAAGAGCACATCGAGTAAAGAAAAAGCCCAGCTCCTGGGCGCCCATCAGTCAGACACACGGCTGGGACGTTTCTCTCCGCTAGCAGTCGGGACGCCACCCGGTGTGAGGCATGGCGCTGGCTCGCTCATGTGTATGCGTCTCGCTTTTGCTGGGTCGGAGCGCATTATGAATGATGCGCCTGGCCATGGTGGCTGTCGCTGCCTGCCAGATCACACGTCCTCCCTGACACAGCCCAGAGTCTTCGCTGGACGTGGCCCGCACCTTGCCTGATGGCCGTCCTTTGGGGGGACACTGACTCTGCCGCCCATAAGAGCACTGGCTTGTCTAGCTGAGGAGCTGCCACCAGAGAAAAGCCGTTTCCCAATACATGTTCCCACGATGCATGAGGAAGGATTTTTAAACATCTCTGTTTTTGACGTTTTTGTTTTACGCAGCAGGTTGATTGTGGGGCGCCAGCTAACAGCACCCACCAAGTGCAGCATGTGATTTGTTTATGTTGTCCTCTGGTGGCCCCCGGAAGGACGTCACTGCCCTCTGGCATATTTTCAGAACCCCAGCCTCTGCTTCCTCGCATTTCTGGCCTTGGCTCATTCCTGCCCTTGGCTGTGGTTTCCAATCAGAGCACGTCCCATTGTTACCCAGTGTGTATTTCCTGTCCGCCGGGACATTCCCATATCCTGTAGCACCGCGCCTGTGGGCACTGCGTGCGGCGCTCCAGCTTCCTCCCTCCCTGTCTCCCAGACCTGGCTGTCAGCGGCCATTTCCCTCTTACTCATGTGGCTCTTCCAGCCCGGCACCTCGGCTCCGTGAGGGCCTTCACACAGCCAGGGTCACGTAGTCTTAGGGAGAGGGACGTGGCTTGAGCCTCGGTGGACAGAGAGTGTTCTAATGCTCAGAACCTATCCGAATCCCCTGTTCTGAGGCTAATGAACCCCCAGAGGAACTATACTGCCTCCTTTAAAAGCCCATGCTTCGCGACCAGCAGATGGCAGAATGGTTACATCGCTGCCCTCCCACATGGTCGACCGTGTTTCGACTCCCAGACCCGGAGGCTTAAAATTCATGCCGGGTGTGTATCCAAGATCCTGGCAGAATGAAGGAGAAGGGATTGCAACATGGCCATCCCCCTGAGGGGTGATTTCTCACTTTCTGTTTCTCTGTCTCTCTAGTGAGCACCCACCCTATAGTTAAAAATCTCTCTCAAAAAGAAGAAAAAGTAAGTCCATGCATCCAGGCCAGCAGGCAGCATGGTGGGTAAGGCAGCTGGGTCCCACATGGTCAACTCCAAGTCCCAGACACAGCGGCTTGAAAAACATGGTGGGTGGGTGCGTGTGCATACATGCCCAAAATCCCAACAGGAGGGAGAAATGGAGACAGGACTGCAGTATGGCCATCCCCTGAGGAGATGCTTCCTCACTTTCCCTCTTGCTCTGTATCTTTCTCTGACAAGTGCACACGCCCTGTAGCCATTTAAAGAAAAAGTTCCATGTCCCCAGAGTGTGTCCTGGTTTATGTGAATCAAACACTGAAGCTGTGTGCTTCTATGTGATGGGAGATGGGTTGGATATAAGATATTAAATAGTCCAACTAGCACTGTCTAACTTGATCAGCTGTGCCTCCTTGGGAACAGCATGTCAGTGTTCTGCGTCCCAGTGTCTCACCTGCACAGGGGAGATGTAAGGGCCATCCCGCCAACCTCTCCCGACACGACGACAGGGAAGTGAGCGTGCAGGGGAAAGAACTGCAGGAGATAATTAAATCTAAGCTTTTACCATATTTACACATTTTCTAGTCTATCTATTAGAATGAACCTAAATACTGTGCCTTCAAAACCAACTTAAGGAGCCACCAGGGGGCATGGTGGTAAAGGCAGCTGGGTCCCACATCACCAGCTACACGGTTCGAGTCCTGGACCCGCCGGCTTGAGAAACACGCTGGATGCATGTGCATGCATGCCCAAAATCCTGAGGGGAGAATGGAGGAATAGAGATTGCAGCAGCCATCCCCCCTGAGGGGTAATTGCTCATTTTTCCTCCTTGTCTCTGTCTCTCTCCCAATAGCATATGTGTCTATAGCCAAAAAAAAAAAATTAAGACCTTCTTGAAAACCTGCCCTTGTAAAGCATACACTTACCTAACAAGAAAGGAAAAAGGTGTGGGGCCAGCAGGTGGCGTGGTGGTTAAGGACTCTGGACTCCCACATGGCTGACCATGGTTTGAGTCCCAGACCTGGTGGCTTGCTTTCTCACTTTCCCTCTCTCTCCCTGTCCCTCTCTAGTCAAATTAAAATAGTAAATAAATAAAGCTAAGTAAAAAATAATTCTTAAGAAAAAAAAAAGAGGGGACCAGCAGGTGGCATGGTGCTTAAGGCACTGGACACTCCCACGTGGACCCTGGTTCAAGTCCTGAATCAGGTGACTTTCTTTCTCACTTTCTCTCTCTCTCTCTCTCTCTCTCTCTCTCTCATCAAATTAAAATAAATGAATGAATGAATAAAATTTTAAGAGAGAAAGGAAAAAGGTGGGGGCGGGCAGAAGGGGAGAATGCAGAACGAAAAGAACAAGCTGGAAAGAAATGGATGTGTCCTGTTTCATCTTCCCTCTCAGGTAAAAGGAAGGTTTTTCTGGGAAAGGTACCTAGACTAGACTCTTCTAGGGAAGTGATAACGTACTTCATTCCAGAAATGTTTCTGAGAACCTCTGGATAGTAAAAAGTGCGTGCTTTGAGAATCCAAAGGCCCTGTGTTTAAACCTAAGATTTTGCATCCTAATAGCTGTATGACTTCAACTAAGATACTTAACCTCGGGACCAGCAGATAGCATAATGGTTGCACTGCTGGACTCCCATGTAGTCTACCGCAGTTCAAGTCCCAGACCTGGCAGCTTAAAACTCATGCCAGGTGCATGTGCGTGTGTGCCCAAAATCCCATAAGGAGAATAGAGGAGAGGGGATTGTGGTGTGGCCATTCCCCCAAGGGGGTAATTTCTTGCTTTTTGTCTCTGTCTCTCCAGCAAGTGCACATGCCCTATAGCAAAAACAAACAAACAAACAAACAAACAGAAAACAACAACAACAACAAAAAAAAACTCTAATAAAAAAGATATGTAACCTCTCCACTCATCCTTCCTCTTACAACAAAAGACGGAGGAAATAATTGGTAATCCTGGGGTCAGTGGGTGATGGTGAAGATTAAGTAGAATTAAAAAAAGAAAAGATGAAGTGGATAACATCTGAGAACACGTATCTGGCTGGCGGGGGTTCCTTCCCATGGCCTCCCTGGGCAGCCCTCTGTGAAATGCAGAGTAGGGAGAGGAAGGCAGGCTGCAGTCCCCTTGGGGGTGTGAAGAGAGCCCTGAAGTCCAGGCAGTGGGTTCCTGAGCAGAGTAACTGCTTCCCAGATAAACGGGAGCAGAGCGGCCGGCCCAGAGCAGCCGTAACTCAGATGCTGACAGCACTTGGAAACTGCCCTGCGGCGGGAGCCCATTGTAAACAAGCTGTCAGGCTTAAGGAGAATACGCTGTGAAAATGTCTTAGATAAACAAACACCGTGTCAGTCCAAGCCCTCCTTCCTGGAAGGGCCTTGACGCTGGTGCTCTGAAGAGGGACCAGCAGGTTCACAGTGCCTTTGGAGTTCCTCACAGGCTCACTCCACCCCAGGGCCCAGGCTGGATGGGGTGCCCTGCCCTTGGGAACCCACTGTGTTCCAGTGGCACCTCTAGGACCCCAGGGACCAAGGTCTCAGCCCTTCCATCCCAAGAGCTCAGGGAAGAGGTGCCCCAGAAAGGTGCTGTGCATCCCACCAATGATGTGAAGTCCGTGGACAGCTGCCGGGAGGGCTGGGTGAGAACTGGGTCCACACGAAGCCCGAAGAGCTGTCCAGAGGGACTCGGTGTGAGCCCCAGTGCAGACCTGCAAGATCAGGGCTGGGGTGCAGGGAGGTCACCCGCCCACGGCAGCACAGCGGCCAGTGCCCGCACAGCCACGCCATGAGTGACCTGCTTCCTCGAAGGCCAACTGCCAGCTCTCAGTCTCGTTATAAAGCTGTTGGGGGTGGGACAGCGGGTGGCATAGCAGTGAAGGCACTGGACTCCCACATGGCCAATCGTGGTTTGAGTCCTGGATCTGGTGGCTTGAAACTCACACCAGACAGATGAGTGTGCACACCCAAAATCCTGGGAGGAGAATGGAGAAGAGAGATTGTGGCAGTCATCCCCCCGGGGGGTGACTTCTCACTTTCCCTCACTGTCTCTCTCCAGCAACCACATGCACCCTGTGGCAAAAAACCTTACATAAATAAATATTTTTTAAAAAAACTTAAAACAGGGAACCAGCAGTTAGCGTAACGGCTATGTCGCTGGACTCCCACGTAGTCGACCGCGGTTCGTGTCCCGGAG